GGTTGGAGTGGAAAAGTTTCTCAATTTCACTGACAATCCGCGTGTGCAAGTCGGGGTTTTTGTCGTCACCAAAAAGCTGAAGAAGCAGCGCCTCATCATAGATGCTCGTCGAGCCAATCGCCTCTTCAGGACCCCGCCTTCAACATCTGTTTGGGATCAGTGGAGTCATGGACGAGGATGGAGGTTGATGAGGGTGCCCCCTTTTTCATTGCGCAAGAAGACGTGAAGGATTATTTCTATCGATTGGGGATTGACAAAAAGTTGGGGGAGTACTTTGCATTGCCCGCGATTGAGCCAGCATTGCTTCGGGAGGTACGTGGAGACTTGCCCGAGGAACTCACCCAGCTGATGGATGTGTCTGGCGCCCGGATTCACCCATGCCTCAAGGTTTTGCCCATGGGATTTTCGTGGGCTTTTCATCTTGCCCACGAGGCCCATGTAGAAGTTGCCCGCAGGGTTCTCTCGTCCGTGCCGGTGATTCGCGACCGGAGACCACCGCCACTGCTTCATGCTGGGGGAGGTGGGCATGAATCGGCGATGTTGATCTATGCGGATAACTGCAATCATTTGGGCACTTGCAGGACAGTGGTGAACCGAGATCAAGTTCGAGTTCGGGAAGCCTTGCATTCATACGGGCTTGACACGCATGATGTAGTCGAATGCAGTGAGATTGTCGAGAGTTTGGGCGTGAGAGTCAATGGTTTATCTGGCAAAGTTCAGGCGTCGCCACACCGTGATTGGCGCCTGGATCGAGCACTCCTGGCGTGCCAGGCAGCGCCAGCTTTATCAGGGAAAGAGCTAGAGTCTGAGGTGATCATCGGACATATGACGGCAAGGGCACTATTACACAGGGGGCTCATGGGCATTTTACGCCACAGCTATGTGTTTGTGCAAACCCATTATCATCGTCGAAAGCGTTTGTGGAGAAGTGTGCTACATGAACTTGAGCTTTTTCGATGCTTGATGCCCCTTGGCCAGGCTGATATCTTTGCGGCTTGGGATGGACATGCACTTTGCACGGATGCCTGCCCCTCTGGCTATGCAGTGTGCGAGAGTGATTGGAGTCCATCTGAATCTGCGGAGGTTGGGCGAGAGGATGAGCGGTGGAGGTTCTATCGAGGACCGCCCGACCGCCCAGCTCCTCGTGCAGCAGCACTGGACACAAGTTTGGTGTTTGAGGATCCATTGACGGTCCGGCCGGAGATCGATGGGGAGCTATTTGGGGACTTGTGTGAGGACCCCAAGTTTCCCAGAGGTCAAGAAGCTCTTGATGACACCGGAGAGATGGCATGTGTTGTGGGGCAGCCGTGTAAGGTGGAAGGACGCCACACACGTGTTGGAGGCCCGCAGCATCTTGGGCGCAGTAAAGCATCGTTGCAGGGACACACAGAGACATGGTAAGCGCATCACGGTACTCAATGACAATCTGGGAGTCGTTTTGGCTGTCCAGAAAGGGAGGTGCTCAAACTACGGGATACTCCGAATCATTAGGCGCATAGCTGCACACTGTTTGGCTACGGGGATTCGCTTGCACGTTAGATGGATTCCTTCTGAAAGCAATGTTGCGGACAAGCCCAGCAGATGGTGGGAGCCATCGCAAGGACAGCCACAGCCTTTTTCCACTGGCTCGGACCAAGGCCGCTGCCAAGGGGAGGAGGACCGTGGCGGTGTTCACGAAGAGCGAGGTGTTGAAGTCAAACATTTCCAGAAAACGGAAATCACGCAGTCATTCCAGGTCACCTGTGGTGGAATGGGGCCCCCCCCGAAGCGCGGGACTGAAGAAGCTCCTCAAGGCACACCAGAGCAAGAGGGAGAACGCCAGGAGGAGACAGCGAAAGTTCGCGCAGAAGTTGAGGGCAACTTTGGGGGAGCGATCCATTCTGGAGCTGAGCAGTGTGAAAGATCCGACAAGGAGAGACTACTTGCAGAGGCTTGAAAAGTTCTACGAGTTCGTCCGTTTCCATCAGCTGGAAATCAAACAGGAGGCAAATCTCGACACGGCGCTTTGCGACTTCGCCGACCAGCTGTATACCTCAATGGAGAAAGCAGCACAAGTGGGCAAAAGCTGCAGGCTGCTCTGGAGTTTGTGCGCCCGGAGGCGAGGCTTCCCCGTTTTCGGAAGGCTCTCAAAGGCTGGCGAAGGCTGGCGCCTACGCAGACCAGACTTCCCATGCCCGAGATGATCAAGAGTGCTATCTCTGGGATCCTGCTGTGGCAGAAGCTGGACGAGTACGCGCTGTTCAACGAAGTGAGTTACTCGACTTACGCACGGCCAGGGGAGCTTCTGAAGATGAAGGCGGAGGACTTCGTCGAGAGGAACCAAGATTTTCAGCACTCAGTTCTCGTGGTGGCGCCCATCGAGAGGGGCGAGGCCTCGAAGGCCGGCATCTACGACGAGGTGCTCATCTTGGACGACCAGACACCACCTTGGTTGGAAAAGGTGCTGTGCTGCGTCGTCACGTGGCCGACCGCAAGAGGCTGGACGGCATCGAGGCGAACATGTGGAGTTTCAGCGCCCGAGAGTACCTGCAGGCTTGGAAACTTGCCGTGGAAGTTTTGGAGGTGTCGGACATAGCAAAAAGTCCATACCAGAACCGCCATGGCGGGGCCAGCAGGGATCATCTTTTGAAAATCCGGAGCATACCTGCCATCCAGCGGAGGGGCAGGTGGGCCTCGGACAGCAGTGCCAGGATCTACGACAAGCCGGGGCGTTTGCAGCAAGTGGTGAACAAGCACGGCGCAAAGCTCAGAACCTTCGGGGAGAGAGTCCGCCAAGACTTCGGGGTTTGGTACCGAAGTGGTACCTGCCAGCTTCTAGCTCACCTCAAGAAGCGGCTAGAGAGCCACTCAAAGGCAAAGCTTTCCTGAGCCTCTTTGGGGGAGTCGCGGAGGGTGCGCGCCTCTTTGCGGAACAGGGAGACGTAGCTGGCGTGGTGGATTTTGAAGATTCCACCAGAAATGATCTTTCAAGGATGAGCTCCTGGAATTCCATTTTGCACAAGCTTGACTCTTTCATGCCATAGGCATTGACTTGCCCTGCAACACCTGGAGTAGAGCTAGACGTGCACCAAAGTACTCCAGGTTTCCTGGACCTTTGCGAGGGGATCTCCCCCAAAGCGTTTTTGGTCTGCCAGGGCTTTCTGAGAAGGATCTCAAAAAGGTGCAAGATGCTAACCGCATGTACTATGGCGCCATGAAAGTCATCAGAAAGTGCCTGCGCCTCAAGATTCCGGGTTACTTGGAAAACCCATTGACTTCAAGGCTTTGGAAGACACCCGGAATTCAAAAACTGCTGCAGTCTCCTCACGTTCAGCTGCTCAGAACAGATCAATGCCAGTATGGAACTGCATGGCGCAAGCCCACTGCTGTACTTTATTGGTGTGCGCCTCAAGCTACCCTGTCTCGCTGCACAGGTCATGGAGGCTTTTGCAATCGCACAAGGCGCCTGCACGTTCAGCTCACAGGAGTTTCAGGGGGCAAGTTTCTCACTCAGCGAGCTGAGGTATACTCCAGATCTTTCGCAGCTGCTTTGATCGGCAACTTCAAACTGCAGTAACCTGGCTGGCTTTTCCTTCATGAACCCACCCACGTCCGCCCAGAGCCATATATACTGATCGTGAGTACGGGACACAGATCTCAGGGCACGAGCTGCGATTATGCTCAGCTGCGTGGCCCTTGACAACAAAGCAAGCAGCGAGAGCTGCACAAAACAGAGTGCTTCGAGCTGCTAAGTGTGTACTAGTGAGCACCACGACATCATAGGAGCACTTGTGCAGATTTGATAGAGTGGTGCATGTTTCTGCTGCATTAAAACCTCAAGGGTTTTGGTCAGCCCACCCTCTCTCTATCCTGAGACACAGATCTCAGGGCACGAGCTGCGATTATGCTCAGCTGCGTGGCCCTTGACAACAAAGCAAGCAGCGAGAGTTGCACAAAACAGAGTGCTTCGAGCTGCTAAGTGTGTACTAGTGAGCACCACGACATCACAATTTGGCATGCTTTGAGCTGCTGGTTCGTAGGAAACAACTCATTGCTGAAGCTCATTCATATAACCCTGCTTCCCCCTAGCTACGATGGAGCTGATCATTGGTTGGGCCAGCAGTTCAAGCCTGGCGGTGCTATCGTTGCACCAGCTTTGACCGAGCATGTAGCCAAGAAGATGCAGGCGGAGTCTCAAATCATGAAAGAAAGGCGCAAGTTGGAGGAGGCCAAAGGGAAATCAAAGGGTAAGCCGCTCAAGGGACCCAAGGGGTCGCCGGCGGCGGAATCCAGTTAGGGCTTTGTTGGCGAGGTCACGTGCAGGCGGTGGCCCCGCCTATTTTCAAAGGCTGCGCATCTGGGGCTCTGTCGGCCCGTCTGCCTTTTCCTTGGTTTGTCGACAGGCTGCGTGGCAAGCACGGCAACGAGAATATTTCATGAACCGGCTGACGCAGACGACGTGATTTGTTTCAATTGCCGCGCCTCCCCGTGGACAACATTGTAAAGAGTGGTTTATCCAGGGCAGTCCGCCGGCGTATGCAGGTACACAGCGCTGAAAACCAGCGCGTGAACAAAGCAGTGAAAGCATTGAATTTAATGTGATTTGGTGGGGGGCATGTGCGCAGGGACTCGGTTGCTGCAGATAAGTCGGCACTTCCTTTGATACAGCAAGACGCACTCTCGCGCATCACAAGTGCGTGAAGCTGCTGGGGCCTCCACCGGCCGACGCATGCTACCCGGGAGCCTTGAGTGCCCTCCGCGTCGCCAGCTCTTCACAGCCTGAGCCTGGCGTGGGTATTGTGGTCAATATAGATCTTCAGAAGTTATCGCTGCCTAGTGGGGGTGCTCTTTAGCTGATCACCTTGAGGGGCCTGTGAAGAACCTGGTGTTCCGTTTTGAGGACTATATACTTGAGGACGGGGATTCTTGGATGCTGAAGGAGGGCATGGTTGATAGCGTGCTACCCTATAATGATCGTCTTCTATAGAGCAGGCTACTTGAATTTCTTTCGGCGGCTCTTTGAGGCTGGGTTTTTTTTGGTTTTACCAGCACTTGCCGAGGTCGCGCGGGGACTTTCACGGTGTCCAAAAAGCCCAAAATTATGAATGGGGTTTCTCACGATCGGTAGAGTTTTGTACTCGATTGTCGACAAACCAACCTCCAGTTCAAGGCACCCCCGTTGACCGAATTAGGTAGCCTCGCTTCGCTTAGCCAGATTGTCTTGGATCCTGACAAAGAGTTGTTCATTGCCGGAGCCGATATTAGAGATTGCTTCTATGCCGTCAATTATCCTCTAGGCATGTGCGATTTTTTCTGCTTGAAGGACGACCTTTTTTATCAAGCGACAAATTTCAGGGGAGAACATGTCCAGGTTCCCAGAGCCTGGGATTCAGATGGAATCGGGCTGTGACATTCAAATATTGAAGAGGCCGGTTTCAGGGCAAGAAACTTTCATGAATGATTTGCATGATCTTGAAAAGGAAAAATTTTAACATTTTCCTGAGTGGCTAAATAAATACAAAATAGTTTTATGGCATCTCTTACAATAATGTCTGGGATTTTCACCAATTTCAATATCTTGCTAGAACGGCCCCCCACACGATTTTTGGTCCCTTGCTGGAGTGGTGTATCAGATATCCTCAAGCTTTGGAAACGACAATTGAATAATTTTTTGAGCAGTCCTGGCGACAGACAAACCTTCTTCCCAAATGAAGGGGTTTCAGGCTTGTGCTAGGCTTGGTGCAGAGTTATTGCTGTAGCGCCTACACAGATGCTTGGCTGTAAGATCGGTGCATGATTCAGTTCTCGGGCCTGCTTCAGGCCTTGAAAGAGTCTTTTGCGCGGTTGTTCGGACTCCCAGTCTGCGATTGCCTTGCGTCCCTGGTTGCCCTTGCTTTGGGGCTGTTGCCTTTGCTGGGACTATGAGTGAGCTGAGGAGGTTTCTGCACGCGGACGGGGCTGATGAAGGCTGGATCGTCCAGGCTCTAATTTTGGCTATAGTAGGCTATGGAGCTCTGAAATAAAGTTCCAGATCTTGCGGTCTGCAGCCAGCAATGCCTGCATGTTAGGGAAAACGTTGGTCCCGCCCATTCCGCATCATTGGCTTTTGAAATGGATCGTAGCGGCTCAGAGGTTAGAAGCTTTATTCCCGACGTGGCTGGCTGATTTTGAAATCTTTCAGGTTCGGCTTCGATACAAGGATTTGGTATCCCAAGCCAAAGAAGCCTCCCAGAAGGATTTTCAAGGATTTGTTGCCTCCCCGGATCAGATGCGTTTCCTGTAATATTCGGGATGTTGGGCTGACAAATGGGTTCGCTATATCCCAAATCAAGCTTTCGACACTTATTTTTCTAAACATTGCATTCTCAAATTTAATAGGCAGCCACTTGGATTGCCATTATTGGATATTGGCGAGGCTTATT